ATATATATAAACGTAGATGAAACTTATACTTACTTGCCGCCGCTAGCCCTGCGCTGCATAAATGTACGATTGATCATGCCGCGAATGGCGTTTGCACTGGCTACTGCGTGTGAGTGGGTTGATCCTGAGGGGTGCTTGGACTGTCCCGGAACACCATGGTGCTGTACCGGTATGCTGGTGAACACCTTATCGGTTGGTAACGGCGGGAGCATCTCGCACGTGATATAGAAGAGTTCATATAGCTACAATGTATTTAAAATGGCGTTCAGGTCAGCATCGTTCACAATATGTTGGACAGTCAGAGAGCTGGACTTAGATGTTTAAACGTCGTAACAATGTAGAGGGTACAAGGTTTACCTATGAAAGTTTGCATGCACCACAGTGCGCTATTGCTGTACTCGATTACACTCTCATATCAACCTTCAAGTAAGAAGAGCCCGTAATTGCATAGCTGTATACTCTACAAGTACAGGTTGATAAATTTTTGAAAGCTATCTCCAACAATAGCGTGTGCATGTGCTGAAAGCTACAAACCGTCCAAACGCTGGAATTAACGGAACCTTCACACTTCGGGCTTTGTGTGTGATTATCACAGCCGAATTTTGCGGCAGCATACAAAGTAAACGACAATATAACGCACAAGCACTCAATAGAGATGCCATGGAACAGGCATAACCCAGTATCAGGAAAGGTTGCAGAATATACACTCGTGCACATATGAAGTTTAATCGAGATGCCGCGGAACAGGCAAAACACAGTATCAGAAAAGGTTGCAGAATATATACACGTGCATATATGAAGTGTTTCATACATGCAGACGGTGGCCACTGCCAAATAATACAGCTAACCCGGTACTTCAGCATGAACGCAGTCACACATGGTCTACAAAATGTAATATGCACACGCACCTGTTCAGCATCCAGCCCTGCATACGAGCGAAGACTCCTGGGTAGATACAAACGACAAGACACGACATAAAAGGCAAGGGTGAAGAAAGGATCAGTACATTTACAGCCATAATCAATCTAAAAGTTAAACCTTGATAAAATGATATGAACAATAGAACGGCATCCAGTTCGTTCTTAGTATGTCGACAGAACGCTGACATGCACATACTACGCAATATAGTACTTAAGCTCCTTACCCCGTCAATTGTAACACGTCCATTGAGATATACAACCAGCTTCAAATAGACTTACACAGGGTTATAGAATAACCCTAGTTGATAAGAGTACACACGATATTCTGAAGTGAGCAGCATTCACAACAGTACATACTTTTGCACATCCTCTCCATCATAAGGCAGGCGCAACAGGCCACGCAGCACACCCGTCACGTCATTCTCAATGAATATATGTGTTAGCGCTGGTGCTCCTTTCAGTACAGTGGAGAAGGTCTGGAAAATGAGAATACAAGCTTTGGATCAGTACACGTAGAATTTCAGGTTCAGGGTTTTGAGTCTAGAGTACGGGCTAGGGTACGAGTCACGGCATCATTCTCGGTGAATGTTTGAGTTGTCGCTGGAGTTCTTTTCAGTACAGCGGAGAAGGTCTACATACAGAGCTCGTGAATTGAGATCAACAGTCATCTAAGGGTGAGACAACACCTAATACTGCTATTCCAGAAACAATGTACAAACTTATGGGTGGATGTTGCTATTCCGCACTACGTAACAGTGGACCCAGATAGCTGTTGCCATGGCGATATCTTGTACATATCACACATGTCTTCAATAATCAGAAGACGGGGCTGTGTAATCGCGAGTCCGCTATTCATATGCGAGTTCAGTTTGTCGTCTAAGTATCGGAGTTTCAACGGCACGTACACAGGACTTAATTTTCCATACACGCTTTTCATTAAGCATATTTGACACCATAAGTATACACACACAACAAACACTCGTATATTCACACATAATTCACACATACACATATATATGCATTGCACCATGTAACAACACTAAGCGCTATCGGTGATGGTGGGCCTGAGGTGGCCGTGAGTGTGACCAAGCACAGCTGGACGGAGTTATATTATATTATCCGCCATTGCTCTACGAATGAATTGCGTACACACAACACACAACACACAATCGCATATTCACTATCACACATGCACACATTCAACGTATGCAACAATCTAAAGGACCACCGTGCATGTGGTCGTGTTGATGAGTGCAGGGATTGTCTTCATCAGCCAGTTTCAACATAGTTGGTTCTGACTTACGAGTCACATCTGTCATCTTACAGAATCTAGATGATATAGATGTGACCAAACACCGCAATATAGCTCTCCGTGAATCTCTCCAAAGAGACCCTGTACACACGTCTAACAGCAAACACTCGTGCATTCACAGACACTTACACGTAAACTAGTCTTGTCCTGCACACACATACATATTAGTTTAAAGCCATGGTGAATGTGGGTGTGTTGATGAGTCTGGGGGGAGCGGTGAGAATGTGTTGACCAGCCCCTTGATGGCTCGTTGTCATATTCTCTACTACCGTGCTTCGACGCAACAGCGTACGCACGTCACGCAGCAGACACTTGTACATTCACAGATGCATATACATATGAGCTATAACCATGCACACACACATGTATTGATTTTCAGCCATGTACCAACCTTAAGCACCATGGTGAATGTAGGTGTGTTGATGAGTCTGGGCGTGGCTGTGAGAGTGTCCATCAGTCGCTTGATGAACCCGCACTGTGCCAACTGCGTCAGTTCCGGAGCGGAGTGGCGGAATGTGGCCACCAAACGGGAGAAGCACAAGCACGCCCGTTCTACAATCTGCGATGGATGCATGGAGACAACGAGAAATTGGGCATGTGCAATCTCATCCAAATGTGTGTCTATGAAGATGCGATAAGAACACTAACAAATGCGAATTTTGTATGTCTCGGTATTATTTCCGGGGCGGAGTGGCCCATCAAACGAGAGAGGCACAAGCACGCCCGTTGCACGATTTTTATAAGTATGTACACAAAGATGGAGATCTTCATACAGACACGCGCTATCTGATCTGTGTGCATGTATGCGAAGTTGAGAAGGGCATACAAGTGAATATATACAAGTGAATATATACAAGTGAATATGTATAAGTGAATATATACAAGTGAATATATACAAGTGAATAAATACAAGTGAATATATACAAGTGAATATATACAAGTGAATATATACAAGTGAATTTTTACAAGTGAATATATACAAGTGTATTTATACAAGTGAATATATACAAGTGAATATATACAAGTGAATATGTACAAGTGAATATATACAAGTGAATATATACAAGTGAATATATACAAGTGAATATGTACAAGTAAATATGTGCAAGAGTATATATACAAATGAATATATACAAGTGAATATATACAAGTGAATATATACAAGTGAATATGTACAAGTAAATATATACAAGTGAATATATACAAGTGAATATATACAAGTTAATATGTACGTGAATATGTGCAAGAGTATATATACAAGTGAATATATACAAGTATGTGTTGGTATCGACCTCGGATAGAATTGGGGGAATGTGGCCACCTGGCGCGAGAAATATGAGCACGCCGTTTCAACAATCAATTTGTACAGAAGGAACATACACCAACTGCATATGCCTGCATATCATTTTCGCAGCGATAAATATCGATTTCAATACCAAATGTCAACAATACACGACAGATTGCCTTTTATTTTAAATAAGATGCTAAAATCTATGCAGCAACTTTCAACTGGAAACCTGATAATACGTCAGTGGCACTTATATTCACTAAATGATGGAATCGCATCAAAGGCCCCAGAAGAGCTCTACACATTCATGAAAATATTCTGCTACTTGGCCGCCCCAACAGATACAACCTTCATAAGCATTGGTACTGCCATAATCATACACATCACCAGATAGATAACCTGAACTTAGGGAGGGTAGCGACAACAACATAACCAAACCACAGTGCTCGATGTCGAATGGGTTTGCAGGTGGAGTGTTTACACATGCTTGCATGCTGTTAATCAGGTGCAATGTTCGATAAGTTCGCTGCAAACCCAACACAGTATGCGATAGACCTGCACTCTACCATGGAACATGTGCATATCAAGAATATATTGTGTAGAAAATAACAACAGGTGGCCAACTAGCGATCAAAAACAATCAACCGCCTGATACCGGCATATTCGGATACATATACCAATGTTATATACTCAAGTTACATATATATCCAAACATATGCACACGTGTGTATGTATGTACAAAAACTAACTCATACTTTTGAATCCTGGCTGTTCATCAGTAGCGTAAGAGCTGGCGCCGATTGCAGGACCATTTCCAGGCAATCGTGCGGTACAGATCGACAGACATTTGCGCAGATGTTCACAGCGACTCGCTGTGTTTGTGAAGCGATAGATCCGAATGATTGAAAATTGTATATGGTTTTTGAAGGGGTTTCGTGCCACAGATATACCATCAAATGATATGTGATGCCATCTGAGTCGTGTGTGCGTTTTGTTAGTGTATTGCAGCATCATGTCGATAAATAGAACACGGTATCAGTCGTCGTCTGTATTATAGTAAGTCAACAAGTGTTTGTCTTACGGCAGAGAGAGCGTTTTCAAATTGACAACTGCGTGGCTTGTAGGTATATGTGCAATAGTCACACATTGGTAAACGCAAATGTTGACTTTGCAGACCTGTATATTGATACAACCGCGCACAAACGTACGATTGACAAGATTGTTATATTGATGTGTCTAAGCACTGGAGCCCCAAGTAATCAATTTGTGTTATGCATGTTGAGGTTTCTGATAATATACTTCTACTCTTCTGAACGAATCCATCCTCCAGAAAACACTACTAATCGAACTATAGACCCACATCTGATAGATCATGGCATACAGCGCAAGCATTAATTGCTTTCGTGTATCGCTCACAAGTACTTTGGAATGTACACATCTACACTTCATTTTCAGAGAATAGGATGTATGTACATAGCCGTACTCAAATCCTCCAACTTGTTGTACGCCCGACATATATCAACGCATACGCGAACAGGCATATACTCGTACATAGGTGTACACTATATACACACACACACTATATATA